TATTTAGTATGGAAAATATTTAGTTTCAAACCTTGATTTTTAGAAATGAATAAATAACATTGTGAAAAAATAACCCTCTTATTGTTCTCTTAAATCACGCTAAATAAGCATCAATATTGCTCTTAATTTTTGACTGCTTAACTTTGCAAACAGCACCTTATAAGGTTTTACATGGAACTTTCCTATTGAAAACATATTTAAAACACATTTACAAATATCCAGTGTCTGCTGTTTCAAGAACTAAAGTTGTATAAGACAATTTAATGATTTTATTTCCCTGATTCTGACAGAGTAGCGGTTCTAAGCTGAGTGTCTGAGCTGGAGGGAAAAGCTGCGGACCAAATTTGTAAGGAATGATGAAGCGATCAGATTTCATCTTCCGTCGTTCAGTTAGTGGGTTACATCACCGCATGGCCCAACACAGGAGAGCGACCTCCTCAGGATTAGACTCTACATCTACACCTAATGGACATTCTTTTGAGGACCAGAATGTTCACATTTTCGACAAAGAAAATAGGCGGTTTGAAAGGGGTGTGAAGGAAGCCATTTATGTTAAAGAAAAAACAACCTTAAACAGAGGAGGTGGACTCAGGTTTCAGCTTTCAAAAACCTACAATGCAGCAATTGAGTTGATTCCTTCCCGCTATCATCAACAATTCCCTTTAACTCACTTTCAGAGGCATAGACAGGTATGGAGCATTGCAGGCTAACAAAGAAGCCAAACGAAATGGGAAGCGAAACGTCTTCAAACTTGGAAACAACGTCCTGTGGATTGTGTTTTTTACTTTTTTGGAATAAGCTCAAAGTTTTCATTCCATCCAGGTGAAACAAGGTGAGCATCTATCAGGATCTAAAGGTAGAGGAAGAAAGTCTAAACGGCTCCTCTGTCTGCTGAAGGTTGAAGACCAGAGGAACCTACCTTACCACCCCGGGGTAGCAGGGCAAGGAAGAGTGAGGTGTCGTTCAATCATGTCGGCTGTGCACCATCATTAGCATAACCTAATCCCGACTGGAAACTCTGTTTCTAACTTTGAGACGCATCTAGAAATGTTGGAGGAATGAAATATGGACGCCCACCTACTGCTGTGGAAGCTGCTTCACCAACATCAGGCAGCTTCCTTTTCCGGGCATCGATTAAAAAAAGGTTAATGAATCAGGAAGAACTAAAAAATTCGAACTAGTAACAATTATTGATTTTTCATGCTGAACCCTGGTTACTAAAAAAAAAAAATCAGCATCTTATAAAATCAAAATATCAAACTTTAAAAATTGGTGATTGGTAAAATATCGAAATCAGTTTTCCCCTACAATGTTTTCCCCTTAAATGTGACGTGTTTTTAGGGGTCCGAGTATGGAGAGAAATGAAGTACAATTTTACTGAAAAATTGAGTTTGAAAAACTTAATTGAAAAAATAAAAGATTTCAAGAGTAATGTGTGTTAGCAAAGTTCAACCAACGTGATTACAGATTTCAGATTTTTATTTTTAAAAATATTCATTTCCTTTTAATTTTTTCAAAGTTTGTTTAAGTTTTTATTCATTTTTTGGGGGGAAAATTGAATTTTCAAAAATGCATTTTTACTTCAAATCCAATAGTACATATTTCACCATCTGGGTGGTCTGTGGGTGGACCAATAGAAACACTGTTGCTATGGTGCATGCTGAGCAGACCCATTTCTATTGGTCCACCAAAGAGTGTAGGAGGGACATCTGAAAAAACAGAATTTGGACTCTCTTTAAAAAAAAAAAAAAAAAATGTAAATCTGAAAAAACTAGCAAACGTTAAAAATATTAGTTCAACTTCTGCATAAACATGAGTAATATACGGAAGCGTATTGCATTCAAAGAAAAAAAAATCTTACAGCTTATCTCATAATTACGAGATACTGATCTCATAATTATGAGATAAGCTGTCTGATTTTTTTTTTTCTTTGGTGAATTCAATATGCTTCCATAGTATTTTACTTTGGATTAAACATTTTTCAAAGCTTCATTTTTGATTCATTCTGTCTGAAACATCTTTTTTGTTATGCATTTTGTCATTTTCAATAATCCTGGAACAAAATTCTCTCCATAGGTAGGAACATCTTACTTTGAGGTGAACATGCAGACAACAAAAAAACAAGTCTGGTATTTAAATGAGAAAAAAAATATTTTCAACAATCGTGTTTCACAGAAAAGAGAAATCAGTCGTAAGTCAAGTGATACGGAACAAGTCAGCAGCTCATCCATTACCGTCCTTATTTATATCACCATTGCATAGAGCTTCTGTACAATGCTTTGAATGTGCTTCACGTGTTTGTTTTTATCTTTACATTGGATGTGAAACATCACAGCACTGCAGATGTCTAGAGAACAAAAGGGAAATTTAAGTTCCATGTTATTTCTAAGGTTATCTGTTTACCTTTGATGATCAAGGTTTTAGAATTGCTGTTTCTTCTCGATATCTTTCATTCTTTAAAAGGTTTTCTGTTCAAAAGTTTACTAAACAGCTACCTACAAAAGCTTGGATCCAGAAATGTAAAAGAAATCTTGAACATGAACAGAAAAAACCCAACAGATAAATCCACATTTCCATGTGATTAGTGAGTCTGCTGCCAGCGTGACGGCCAGTCCTTCTCTATCCAGCTCTGAAGCAGCCGCAGCACGTCAATGCGCTGATAGATGCGGCACAGTTCGGTGAGCTCGGTCACCGTCTTCTGGTTGTAGCGCAGCAGGAACTCTTGAGTGGGGCTGTGAGACAAGGAGCCCTGGGTCCGGTGCTCCAGCAGGGTGAGTTCGTCGTAGCTCATTCCCCAACGGCTCGCAAAGTTCTTCCAGTTTTTAACCGTGCAGTGGTTTGGGTCCAGCTTCAAGCGCAGTAAGTCCAGCAGGTCTTTGTCGTTCATGAGGTCACTGATCTTTGGTGGAGGTGCTGGGCAGCAGCACTTTTCACAAGGACTGCGGAGGAGCTGCAGCTGTTTGGGGCAGTCTGAGTGTACAAGAGACAAAAGGAGGAGCTCATTTTAGACACATGGCAGTCTGCATCTAACAGCCTGTTCACATATCCATCAACGCAAAAATTTACAGATTTATAGCTAGATCTCCTAAAAAACACTGGCTTACGGAAACATCCAGAGAGAAACAATGAGATGCACACTGCAAAAACGATCTAGAAATGGGGAAAAAGTTCTTAAATTAATTGTATTTACCCTTAATTTGAGTAGGTAAATAAGATGATTTGCTAATGAAATGAGTATTTTTACACTTAAAATAAGATAATTAGATAATATGCTCTTGATATAAGATATTGCAATAGTTCAACAGTTGGCAAAGTGTCTCACTTACCTCCTCAATTCAAGAAAAAGTGCACTTATTTAGATTATGATTTTTTTGGAGTGCATGATTAATTACACTGTAATTTTAAATTTAGTCACTGAAAATAAGAGAGGCTTTTAAAATGAAACCAATTCTGGGAGACTTGTAGTGGAATCATTGTCAGCTGTTCCAAGAGATTAAGCCGGGCGTACACAATTTTTTTAATCGTTGCACGCAGCTACAGCTCAAACTGTACGACGAAACCTCAGGGTTTAAAGTTCCCAGCTCATGATGTTTGTTCTCACACTTGTGCGACCCGACGCTCTGATGCGATCTACCTGCTCACACTGAACGTCTAAAAACCAGGTGGGACTCAGCTCTGCAGTGAGATGGTGCTACTCAGACTAATCTATCCAGAAGCCAAACCAGTAGAAGAGGAATATGAAGCTCACTAGACTGAAACGCGCTGCCTTGGCTATTTGTGTAATTTTGAGCTGAAAGCCCTAAAGAGAAAAGGTAACAACATATTTGGACAAAGACATGGCTGAGCAAACATGGCTACTACGGTCTGTAAATTTTACAGAAAGAACTCAATTTCACTCGCACCCCCGCCATGCTTCTGTGTTTTCCACTGAGAGGAAGAAGTAGAAACCTTGTTTGCGCACTGAGCGATTTGCCCAGAGCCACCTTACCACAGCTGACTGAATTTCAAACATGCTTGATTTTCTCCTGATCGTATGATTCCTGATCGGGAGGTGTCCCTGAGAGGCTGATCGCCCCTCGTTACCCCCTGTACACTACATGACGCACCATCAGGCTGAAAGGCCCGAACGAAAAATTCTCCCATGACTGGAGAATCAACCCATTTACTGTTGAAATAAAAATAAATTGTACCTGGTGAAGTAGATGAAGGGCAAGAGCAGTCTTCCAGATCTTCGACTGGCTGCAATCACAGAATACATTTATTAGAAAAAAGCTTAAATAATGAAGATAAAAACAAATGATAAATGGATTACACTATGACCAAATTAATTTTTAATCTAAGTTAAAGCAATTGTGAGCCTATAGGCCTATCTAAATTACAATAGAAATAACTAAATAGATCGTGTTGCCCTCAATGAACTGGCAACAGATGACAGATGGGAGACGCCAGCACCTCTCAAGACTCCGCTTGGGATAAGCATGATGGAAAATGGATGGATGGATAGATAAATAGATTCAGATTCATTGCTTTATTGTCATATAGACTTCAGTGCACAAAAACAGGGTCTGTAACACACAGACATCATCAGTTCTCAGGTAAATATATGTGCTATTAAGTAAACTTCACAATAACACTACAACATGGTAGATTTGGTCAGCTGGCATGAACCTCAGTCTCTGTGTTTATGTCACACGTGACTCTATTGGCTCCAAAATCCTTTTAGGCAAACAACAAGGAAATAATCATATTGCTATAGGCTACTATTTAAACATTATTGAACAGTTCTCCATTACCCAAAGAACACAGGATCAAAATAACACTATTAAATACTATAGTTACGTTAAAATGCATGGATGGATATGAAGGTGAAGATTCTCAGTCATCAAGGTCATAGTCATGACCTTGATAGTGGAGTCAGATTTCAGCTTTGAAAAACCTACAATTCAACAATTGAGTTGATTCCTTCTCGCTATCAGGGCAAACCCCACCCCGTTACAAGGGAACAGAAGAACCCGCCTTTTCAGCCAGGCCAACAATTCCCTTTAAAGACCCCCCTTTCAGAGACATAGACAGGTATCACGTATTACAGGTTAACAAAGAAGCCAAATAACCCCCATTCAAAAGGGGGATCTGTTTGTCCGCTTCAATTTGTATGTTTTCTAAACTCTATAAAGCCTCAAACTCAACGCTATTTCTAACACTTTTAATTGAAAAAGCTTCCTTGATGGGAAGCGAAATGTCTTCAAACTTGGAAACAAAGTCCAGAGGATTGTCTTTTAACTTTCTTGGAATAGACATGAAAGTGCTCGGCGGGACCGTCCTACTTTGAGCTACATGCAGGGTGGCCTGGTTACAGGCTAGATTGGGTTGCGGGTGCCGGGGCTGGGCCTGCCACTGCAACTGCCATCAGAGGCGGGTGGACAGTCTCCTGACTCCGGCTGCTCTCCGTTGTCATGGTTGCGGTACCATCATGTCACTAGTGGTGGTTTTCCCAAAAAAAATCCAAAATGCGTTTCTGTGCCTTGTTTCCTCCTCATTTCTGTCATTCGACTATGTGCATTTACTAGTCTGCTGCCATGAGCGGGATACCTCTTTACTCGGAGGCCACTAGCTTGCTTGACGTTGCCATGACAATGTATCTTCCGTGAACTTGTGTTAGTTAAGCCTCAAAATAATTAAATTAAAATCCACGTGATAGTAAAATAAAAACAGGAAATATACTCCGCACAAAGTTATAAATAATGCAAAAGTATTTTTAATAATTTTTTTTAAATCTCCCCGTCACCACTAGAGGGTGCTGCAACATTCCCACTTTCCGCGGCCATGGTAGCTCCTACCTACTGTTCCATTAAAAAGTAAGAAAATCTATTTCCTATCCTTGGGTGAGACCATTAAGAATATGTGGCTACCTCATAGTACAAGAGCGAATAAACATACAACCATACCAGCTCTGCAGAGCCCGGTCAAACAAGGTCAGGTGTCAAGGGATCAGTGCCCTATGGTGACAGGTGGGAATTGGAACACGAAGAAAACACAGGAACAGAAGAAACTATTTGAATTCTGCTACTCCAGTTACCCTGACTAGTGGGGCTATTTGAGAAGACCGTAGGAAGAATGGATGCTTTGATATCTAATGTCAGAACTAACTAAGCTAACAGCTTTGCACCTAGCAGCTCAGTGATCCGACATTCACAAAAAGCAACTGCTCTGAGATTAGAGTACCAGCAGCTCCAACACATGCAAGCTATGCTAATGGGGAACCAAGATACAAGGCCAGATGGGAGTGCCTCCATCACCTCCCCTGAAACTGGGAACCAAGCCCTAATAGTGCGAAAAACCACTGACCTGAGAAATAAAAGCATGGTTTATAACTGAAAACCTGTCAACTCCACCATCAGCTAGCAAAGTGAAGTAAGGTTCTACCAGATGATCTCCTGAATGAGATGCTTGAACAAGGTAACGGGGCGTCCATAGTGGACAATGTGGAGAAATTCTAGGCAAAATGGAAAGAAATAAGACAACTGTCAGAACTCGAGAGAAGATTATCTGGCCAAGGAATGCTGCAGTATACAAACAAATGCAATTACCTGAGGCCCTGGTAACTTCTAGACATAAGCCCCATTTCCACCAGCCTTTTGAAACCGTGCCGAGATCGGTCCGAGCAAGGTTACCAAGATGACTGTTGCACTTTTTTTTCTCTAAACATAATCTATTCTCTCCATTTGGAATATTTGTGAATCAGGTCTGTTGCGTTTCCTGCTGTTGGTGTGTTTCCATCTAAACGACAGATTGATTTCAATCTGAAAATTCCTTGCATCCTGCATCTGTTTGCAGTAAATCTATCCTCAATTAGCAGCTTTTTGATGGCTCCTACAGCCAAACATGTTTAAACAAAAAGAGCAATGCCCCTAAAGCACATCAAGGCCCTGTTTTCATGTCCTCAGGGACATGCGGATAAATCCTCAATACACATGTATGAACAATCAGACTTTGGGGAAAGGGTTCTTATTCCATCAAAGCTCCCTCTGAGAAAGCTGCATACCACAGATTGATGGAAGCCGTCCCTCTATCCTACGCCTTCTGCTCTGTTATTAGAGGAGCTCACAGCTGCACCGTGAAACAAAACCACAACCTGTTTGCCCACAGCTCAGATGAAAGGGTAATTAAACCCTGAGCATCGCTTTCAGGCCTGAGAAGGAAGACGTAGTGTGTGTTCATCGGGGGGGAAAACTTTTAAATGTAAATAGCAGTTTATCCCTGTATAGTCTGCTCAACATTTGAAATAACACTGATGTTCATTAGCTTATATTTCATGTAAAAGACTTATTTTGGTGTTTATTATGTAAATCCCTTTAGTTAAAAAGGCATGACAGAGTTATCTAATGACACTGCCTCCTGTGGCCAAAACCCGGAACTGCAGCTCTTCTGCTCATCCTCGTAGGCCTCAGGCTCGTACATGTTTCACCTTGGTTGGAATTGCCATCGGTGTCTGATTGAGCTGGATGCAGGTTGTTTCTGAATATCCAGAAAATCCATCTGGAATAAAAGGCTTCAACTGTTTAATAGATCGGACCCATTCAACATGTAGGCTTGACGTCACATCCTGAGGAACAGCATGTGAACTTCTGTCCCGAAGTAAATGAATTGAAAAAGTGTTAAATAATATGGTGTTAGTAGACTTTGTTCAAAGACGGTGTTAATTTAGCTCTTAATGGAGTTATAGTATACAAATATAACTCTGAGGTGTCACATGTTAATAGTTAAAATTGAGTTTTGGCAAAGGTTCCACATTGTTAGACTTAGACAGATTTTATTTGTCATGTTGTTTACACAAGTGTAAAACAAAAAGAACTTTCGTTTGGAACAGCTCTCTGGANCAAAAGTTTACTAAACAGCTACCTACAAAAGCTTGGATCCAGAAATGTAAAAGAAATCTTGAACATGAACAGAAAAAACCCAACAGATAAATCCACATTTCCATGTGATTAGTGAGTCTGCTGCCAGCGTGACGGCCAGTCCTTCTCTATCCAGCTCTGAAGCAGCCGCAGCACGTCAATGCGCTGATAGATGCGGCACAGTTCGGTGAGCTCGGTCACCGTCTTCTGGTTGTAGCGCAGCAGGAACTCTTGAGTGGGGCTGTGAGACAAGGAGCCCTGGGTCCGGTGCTCCAGCAGGGTGAGTTCGTCGTAGCTCATTCCCCAACGGCTCGCAAAGTTCTTCCAGTTTTTAACCGTGCAGTGGTTTGGGTCCAGCTTCAAGCGCAGTAAGTCCAGCAGGTCTTTGTCGTTCATGAGGTCACTGATCTTTGGTGGAGGTGCTGGGCAGCAGCACTTTTCACAAGGACTGCGGAGGAGCTGCAGCTGTTTGGGGCAGTCTGAGTGTACAAGAGACAAAAGGAGGAGCTCATTTTAGACACATGGCAGTCTGCATCTAACAGCCTGTTCACATATCCATCAACGCAAAAATTTACAGATTTATAGCTAGATCTCCTAAAAAACACTGGCTTACGGAAACATCCAGAGAGAAACAATGAGATGCACACTGCAAAAACGATCTAGAAATGGGGAAAAAGTTCTTAAATTAATTGTATTTACCCTTAATTTGAGTAGGTAAATAAGATGATTTGCTAATGAAATGAGTATTTTTACACTTAAAATAAGATAATTAGATAATATGCTCTTGATATAAGATATTGCAATAGTTCAACAGTTGGCAAAGTGTCTCACTTACCTCCTCAATTCAAGAAAAAGTGCACTTATTTAGATTATGATTTTTTTGGAGTGCATGATTAATTACACTGTAATTTTAAATTTAGTCACTGAAAATAAGAGAGGCTTTTAAAATGAAACCAATTCTGGGAGACTTGTAGTGGAATCATTGTCAGCTGTTCCAAGAGATTAAGCCGGGCGTACACAATTTTTTTAATCGTTGCACGCAGCTACAGCTCAAACTGTACGACGAAACCTCAGGGTTTAAAGTTCCCAGCTCATGATGTTTGTTCTCACACTTGTGCGACCCGACGCTCTGATGCGATCTACCTGCTCACACTGAACGTCTAAAAACCAGGTGGGACTCAGCTCTGCAGTGAGATGGTGCTACTCAGACTAATCTATCCAGAAGCCAAACCAGTAGAAGAGGAATATGAAGCTCACTAGACTGAAACGCGCTGCCTTGGCTATTTGTGTAATTTTGAGCTGAAAGCCCTAAAGAGAAAAGGTAACAACATATTTGGACAAAGACATGGCTGAGCAAACATGGCTACTACGGTCTGTAAATTTTACAGAAAGAACTCAATTTCACTCGCACCCCCGCCATGCTTCTGTGTTTTCCACTGAGAGGAAGAAGTAGAAACCTTGTTTGCGCACTGAGCGATTTGCCCAGAGCCACCTTACCACAGCTGACTGAATTTCAAACATGCTTGATTTTCTCCTGATCGTATGATTCCTGATCGGGAGGTGTCCCTGAGAGGCTGATCGCCCCTCGTTACCCCCTGTACACTACATGACGCACCATCAGGCTGAAAGGCCCGAACGAAAAATTCTCCCATGACTGGAGAATCAACCCATTTACTGTTGAAATAAAAATAAATTGTACCTGGTGAAGTAGATGAAGGGCAAGAGCAGTCTTCCAGATCTTCGACTGGCTGCAATCACAGAATACATTTATTAGAAAAAAGCTTAAATAATGAAGATAAAAACAAATGATAAATGGATTACACTATGACCAAATTAATTTTTAATCTAAGTTAAAGCAATTGTGAGCCTATAGGCCTATCTAAATTACAATAGAAATAACTAAATAGATCGTGTTGCCCTCAATGAACTGGCAACAGATGACAGATGGGAGACGCCAGCACCTCTCAAGACTCCGCTTGGGATAAGCATGATGGAAAATGGATGGATGGATAGATAAATAGATTCAGATTCATTGCTTTATTGTCATATAGACTTCAGTGCACACAAACAGGGTCTGTAACACACAGACATCATCAGTTCTCAGGTAAATATATGTGCTATTAAGTAAACTTCACAATAACACTACAACATGGTAGATTTGGTCAGCTGGCATGAACCTCAGTCTCTGTGTTTATGTCACACGTGACTCTATTGGCTCCAAAATCCTTTTAGGCAAACAACAAGGAAATAATCATATTGCTATAGGCTACTATTTAAACATTATTGAACAGTTCTCCATTACCCAAAGAACACAGGATCAAAATAACACTATTAAATACTATAGTTACGTTAAAATGCATGGATGGATATGAAGGTGAAGATTCTCAGTCATCAAGGTCATAGTCATGACCTTGATAGTGGAGTCAGATTTCAGCTTTGAAAAACCTACAATTCAACAATTGAGTTGATTCCTTCTCGCTATCAGGGCAAACCCCACCCCGTTACAAGGGAACAGAAGAACCCGCCTTTTCAGCCAGGCCAACAATTCCCTTTAAAGACCCCCCTTTCAGAGACATAGACAGGTATCACGTATTACAGGTTAACAAAGAAGCCAAATAACCCCCATTCAAAAGGGGGATCTGTTTGTCCGCTTCAATTTGTATGTTTTCTAAACTCTATAAAGCCTCAAACTCAACGCTATTTCTAACACTTTTAATTGAAAAAGCTTCCTGGATGGGAAGCGAAATGTCTTCAAACTTGGAAACAAAGTCCAGAGGATTGTCTTTTAACTTTCTTGGAATAGACATGAAAGTGCTCGGCGGGACCGTCCTACTTTGAGCTACATGCAGGGTGGCCTGGTTACAGGCTAGATTGGGTTGCGGGTGCCGGGGCTGGGCCTGCCACTGCAACTGCCATCAGAGGCGGGTGGACAGTCTCCTGACTCCGGCTGCTCTCCGTTGTCATGGTTGCGGTACCATCATGTCACTAGTGGTGGTTTTCCCAAAAAAAATCCAAAATGCGTTTCTGTGCCTTGTTTCCTCCTCATTTCTGTCATTCGACTATGTGCATTTACTAGTCTGCTGCCATGAGCGGGATACCTCTTTACTCGGAGGCCACTAGCTTGCTTGACGTTGCCATGACAATGTATCTTCCGTGAACTTGTGTTAGTTAAGCCTCAAAATAATTAAATTAAAATCCACGTGATAGTAAAATAAAAACAGGAAATATACTCCGCACAAAGTTATAAATAATGCAAAAGTATTTTTAATAATTTTTTTTAAATCTCCCCGTCACCACTAGAGGGTGCTGCAACATTCCCACTTTCCGCGGCCATGGTAGCTCCTACCTACTGTTCCATTAAAAAGTAAGAAAATCTATTTCCTATCCTTGGGTGAGACCATTAAGAATATGTGGCTACCTCATAGTACAAGAGCGAATAAACATACAACCATACCAGCTCTGCAGAGCACGGTCAAAAAAGGTCAGGTGTCAAGGGATCAGTGCCCTATGGTGACAGGTGGGAATTGGAACACGAAGAAAACACAGGAACAGAAGAAACTATTTGAATTCTGCTACTCCAGTTACCCTGACTAGTGGGGCTATTTGAGAAGACCGTAGGAAGAATGGATGCTTTGATATCTAATGTCAGAACTAACTAAGCTAACAGCTTTGCACCTAGCAGCTCAGTGATCCGACATTCACAAAAAGCAACTGCTCTGAGATTAGAGTACCAGCAGCTCCAACACATGCAAGCTATGCTAATGGGGAACCAAGATACAAGGCCAGATGGAAGCGCCTCCATCACCTCCTCTGAAACTGGGAACCAAGCCCTAATAGTGCGAAAAACCACTGACCTGAGAAATAAAAGCATGGTTTATAACTGAAAACCTGTCAACTCCACCATCAGCTAGCAAAGTGAAGTAAGGTTCTACCAGATGATCTCCTGAATGAGATGCTTGAACAAGGTAACGGGGCGTCCATAGTGGACAATGTGGAGAAATTCTAGGCAAAATGGAAAGAAATAAGACAACTGTCAGAACTCGAGAGAAGATTATCTGGCCAAGGAATGCTGCAGTATACAAACAAATGCAATTACCTGAGGCCCTGGTAACTTCTAGACATAAGCCCCATTTCCACCAGCCTTTTGAAACCGTGCCGAGATCGGTCCGAGCAAGGTTACCAAGATGACTGTTGCACTTTTTTTTCTCTAAACATAATCTATTCTCTCCATTTGGAATATTTGTGAATCAGGTCTGTTGCGTTTCCTGCTGTTGGTGTGTTTCCATCTAAACGACAGATTGATTTCAATCTGAAAATTCCTTGCATCCTGCATCTGTTTGCAGTAAATCTATCCTCAATTAGCAGCTTTTTGATGGCTCCTACAGCCAAACATGTTTAAACAAAAAGAGCAATGCCCCTAAAGCACATCAAGGCCCTGTTTTCATGTCCTCAGGGACATGCGGATAAATCCTCAATACACATGTATGAACAATCAGACTTTGGGGAAAGGGTTCTTATTCCATCAAAGCTCCCTCTGAGAAAGCTGCATACCACAGATTGATGGAAGCCGTCCCTCTATCCTACGCCTTCTGCTCTGTTATTAGAGGAGCTCACAGCTGCACCGTGAAACAAAACCACAACCTGTTTGCCCACAGCTCAGATGAAAGGGTAATTAAACCCTGAGCATCGCTTTCAGGCCTGAGAAGGAAGACGTAGTGTGTGTTCATCGGGGGGGAAAACTTTTAAATGTAAATAGCAGTTTATCCCTGTATAGTCTGCTCAACATTTGAAATAACACAATGATGTTCATTAGCTCATATTTCATGTAAAAGACTTATTTTGGTGTTTATTATGTAAATCCCTTTAGTTAAAAAGGCATGACAGAGTTATCTAATGACACTGCCTCCTGTGGCCAAAACCCGGAACTGCAGCTCTTCTGCTCATCCTCGTAGGCCTCAGGCTCGTACATGTTTCACCTTGGTTGGAATTGCCATCGGTGTCTGATTGAGCTGGATGCAGGTTGTTTCTGAATATCCAGAAAATCCATCTGGAATAAAAGGCTTCAACTGTTTAATAGATCGGACCCATTCAACATGTAGGCTTGACGTCACATCCTGAGGAACAGCATGTGAACTTCTGTCCCGAAGTAAATGAATTGAAAAAGTGTTAAATAATATGGTGTTAGTAGACTTTGTTCAAAGACGGTGTTAATTTAGCTCTTAATGGAGTTATAGTATACAAATATAACTCTGAGGTGTCACATGTTAATAGTTAAAATTGAGTTTTGGCAAAGGTTCCACATTGTTAGACTTAGACAGATTTTATTTGTCATGTTGTTTACACAAGTGTAAAACAAAAAGAACTTTCGTTTGGAACAGCTCTCTGGACAATTTAATCTTTCTTTAAAAGTAATTGTATATTGTATTGTAATATTGTAATAGTAATTGTAATTTTTAATGTAACATTGTTACAAAATATTTTCCAATTGTGATACACTTTGAAATAAATATTTGCAGAAAAAACAAACATTGCTTATTTATTTATTTTTCCAAAGGGATTTTTATATGTTCAGAAAAGTAAAATTTTCAGTATTTAGAGAATAACTCCTATGTAGTTAGGAAAACATTCCGTGAGAATGTTAATATTCCAATTCTAACACCTAGTCGGTGTAATTAAGTGTTAAATGATCAACTCCAGAAATATTTATTATTTAACACTAAAGAGTGCCAAATCTCCAAAAAGAGTCAAATTAACACTCCCTGGTGTGGACCCATATAGACACTTGAAGGGTGTTAAAATCAAATCTGACAGTGTTGATTTGAGCATGTTGGATTTGCTGTGTAGACTACAGGCTGATAGATGAACTACTGGGGCGTCAGTCTGATCATTAAACCGTGTTTCATGCAGACCACAGTATGTACGCCTACAGAAGTGGGTGTCTGACAGGGTGGGGGGCAACACTGGGGCCCCTCAGGGGACTCTCCTCTCCCCCTTCCTCTTCACCCTCTTTACCTCAGACTTCAGCTATTGTATTAAGTCCTGTCACCTTCAGAAGCTGTGACCCGTTTCCATCCCTGTATAAACAGTGGAGGAGTATAAGTACCTGGGAGTGTACTTTAACAATAAGTTGGACTGGTTTAGAAACACTGAGGAGGTCTACAAAAAGGGCCAAAGCAGACTCCTTTTTTTCCTGAGGAGGCTGGGGTCTTAACATCTGTCGGACGATGCTGAGGATGTTTGATGAGTCTGTTGTGGCCAGCATGATATTCTTTGCTGTCATATGCTGGGGCAGTGGGCTGAGGGTCGCTGATCAAGAGGGCTGGTGATGTTGTGGGGAGGAGCTGGACACGGTGACGACCATGGCAGAGAGGGGGATGCTGTCCAGGCTTCGGGCCATCTTGGACAATGTCTCACAGCCTCTCCATGACACACTGGCCCAGAAGAGGAGCTCCATCCGCAGAAGACTCCTCTTACCCAGATTCACCACAGAGCGCCACAGGAAATCATTTCTGCCTGTGGTCATCAATCTCTACAACGCCTCCCTCAGAAAGTCATACACCCCCCCCCCCCTCTGTAACAGAATTATTGACAATTTTGACATTTATTCATTCTTTTGCTCTCTTTTGCACATTGCTATTATTACTTTTCTTTTTTATATATCTGTAAATATATATATATATATATATATATAAATTTATATATATGGTTACATATGTATATATTTATATTTTTATTTTCAGTGTTGAAAGTTTTATTGTATTTCTTTGTGTTGTATTTTATTTCTTTAGATGATGAATGTGTGCAATATGTTGTTTCTGTATCTAGAGTGTGTAACAAAGATAATTTCCCTCTCATTAAAGTATTTCTGATTCTGATTTTAGTCATAAAGGCTCATATAAAAGGGAGATTTTAAAGATAGTTTTCAGGGACAGCGATCTTAGATTCCTAGAATCAAACCCCTTGTTTCTAGGGGCAACACTGACCTGTCTGATCTTGTCCTGCGAGGAGCGCTGCAGGTATCCGGAGGGCATGGAGCTGAGGTGTAGTGTCACAGCGTCTGCCAGACAAACATTACACAGGCTTAAAACTGTTTCCCCTTAACAGTTGACACTTCCTCAGTTATAACAGCAGGAAACAACTTTGTTCGTTATATAGAAACTAAAATCCTTCTAACTATTATTATCTGGACTATTAAACTGACTATCAGATCAGACTCCAACAAAGTCCCTTCAGTATATGATGTCATAGCCAGTTTTACTTTCTTTTTCCAAACTGTAATTTCTGATCTAACAGGTTGGATGTTAAATCTAGCAGTTCGGACTGATAGTTTTTAAATAGCTTATTTATAATTAAAGCCTTTTGCCCTGATGCCAAAGCTTTGCTTCTTTTGTTTTTGTAAAGCTAGAGGGCAAACTTGTAGGTTGATAAATGAAGCAAATTGTTGGAATGTACACTAAAGTGTCCTCACAGCTCACACTGAGTGCACAGTCCTACATTTATGTTTTTTCAGCGATTGAAACTTAGGGAGAGAAATTTGCTGCAAAATTATTGAAAGCGAAGAACACATCTGAAAAAGGAGAGTAAAAAAAAACAAAAAAAAAAAACAAGAAGGTTTTGAGAGTAATTTATTAGGTGTATGTAAAAGTTCAACCAGTATTGTTACAGTTTGCTATGCTTTCAAATTCTGTTTTTTTCCAAATTGAATTCAATTATTTTAGGGGAGGAGAACTCTGATAAAGTAACCCTGAAGGATATTAAAAAGTGATCAGAGAGGACAGGGTTGTTAAGAAATACTGTTATTTCTTCACATTCTATGCCGTATGTCAGCACAAGATCCAAACTATGAAGATGAGAATGTGTGGGACTATTCACATTTTGAACAAAACCAATAGTCTCTAAGATAGCATTAAAGGCTGCTATAAGCTATAACCTTCAATGTCAGCATGGATGTTAAAATGTCCCACTATGATGACCCTGTCAGTATTTAATACCAAATCAGATCTCTGATGACTGATCTAAAAAATTCAGAGTAAGGACCTGGTGGATGATACAAAGTTACAAAAAGAAGAGTTTTTCTGGCTTTGCAATTTAGATGAGGGAAACTAAGCGTTAAGTGTTCAAAAGAGTTGTAATTATTAATTGCCTTTGGAGTAATCAGTAAGTCAGACTGAAAGATTGTTGCTACTCCTCCTCCTCACCCAGAATCTCTGGGTTTGTGAAAATTTAAATAACTACAAGGTGTTGCCTCATTTACGCTCACAATCCTGTTGCTGTAAGGCAACATAAGTCAATGTGATTATCACAAATCAAGTCATTAACTAGCAGACTTTTAAGGGAAATAGATCTTATGTTAAACAGACCAGATTTAATCGTTTAACTTTTTCCCCAATTGGAATTATTTTAATTTTACTTAGATTATCATGATTTACTCCTTTAGGAATCTTTTCTGATTGATTAGATTTTGGTCGTGGGCAAGACACTGTCTGGATGGAGTAAAGAGCGGGTAACAGTAGAGAAGCTGCAGAGATGTGTGTTAAACTACAACTCTGCTTCCTGGTCTGCACCCTGTGTGGTCAGGGTTTTGGAGGACTAATATATTCGGACAGATTCCTAGAAAGAAGAGCTGCACCATCCAAAGTGGGATGAATACCATCTCTCAAAATCAGACCAGGCTTTCCCCAAAAGGATTGCCAATTATTAATGTAGCCCACGTTGTTTTCAGGACACCACCTAGACAACCTGCTTTTGACATGTGGCTAAACATGCCATCACTGGCCAGATCAGGGGGGGGACCAGAGAAAATCCCTCATTGTTTTGGCAAATTCACACACTGAAGCAACACTAATTTTAGTGACCTCCGATCGGCGTAACCGGGTGTCATTACCACCAGCGTGAATAACAATCTTACTGTATTTAACCTTATCCTTAGCCAGTAGTTTCAGGTAGAATTTGATGTCGCCCGTTCTGGCCCCCGGCAAACATTTGACTATGGTCCCTGGTGTCTCTAATGCCACGTTTCTGACTATAGAGCTGCCAATCACCAGAGTGGGCTTCTCAGTGGGTGTGTCACTGAGTGGGGAAAACCGGTTAGAAGCGTGACCTGGTTGGTGGTGACCAGTGGGCAGAGATCCTCGACTACACTTTCTGCGTACCGTTACCCAATCGCCTGGCTGCTCAGGCACTTTTGGAGAACCACTACACTGGCGTATCCCTGGTCTCGGTGGCTCCAGGCTGTTAGCTTGTACATTTACAACAACCAACATCCACCTTTTTAAAGTTCCATTTTTTAAATTTCCTGTTTTGAAAACCATTAATTGCTTTTAAAAATAACAGCATAAGTTTCTCTCCATAAAAATGTATGTTTTGCTTTAAAAACTAATCACGTTTTTGCAAATACAGGTGAAAAAAAAGTGAGTTTAGTTTGTTTTTGGAGGAAAAATAAAGATGGAGGAGCCTTTGAGAAGCAGTTGGCTTCACAATCCCTGTGGGACATTCCAGGTTATTCTGCAAACAGAAATGAATCTGGCTACTGAAAGTAACTCACTAAGTCCCCACTAATGCTCTAAATGTGTCCACAAGAGGCTGACAGCCGGTGGTGAAAGTTACCTTCAAGGCAGGACAGTACGTAGGAACAGGAGTCTTTAGCTTCTTTTCTAATTCTACCATTTAAAGATAAATGTTCTAAAAACAGATAAATCATAAATCTCTTCCGCTTTTCATGATGTGATGTGAACAACTGACTTCATTTCTAACAATTTAGCAACTCGTTTATCTACTAATGACTACTCTTTACAATGCAGGGTCTACTTATGCAGCATTTCTCAGCATGTAAGATTACTGAATCAAACAGACCTCACATGAGTTTTGCAAAGCATCTTATTAGTAACTTTCTTTTATTTACCATGAGGATCTGTGACTTGGACGGGATAATTGGCCTCCAGGGACTGTAGGGAAGACAAGGACAAACATGACAACATTATATATAAACAAAACTAACAGTTATTTGGCACTGTCGAGGCAAAACCACTCTGCTGAAAGACAGGAGAGGCGCCTGCTCTGACTTGCTCTGAGAGGAGTCCTTTGGCGCTGGAATCACAGCACGCTGTGTTCGGTTCTGCTACATTTCTCAGCGGATTAATGCGAGACTTTGCTAAGCTCTCTAATCAAGAACAACACAACTTCATCGCAAAACAAACTGGACATGAAGCAAGTCACAGCAGTGGTTTAGAAAAGGCTCCTTACAATTTCCGCCATAAAGCTGGTGGTGTCTGTGTCCTCAACAGGCTCAGGATTGCTTCTGTCTGCAACAAAAGCAAAAGATTATAAGCATCAATCTGATTTCAAATCTTTTGTTATTTTTCATAACTTCCTGCCAAATTTTGGAGGTAGGACTTTTTTGAAACGTAGGAAAACCATTTCCTGCAGTAAAGGAAGTCCTAAGGGCAAAAAAACCCGACACCGACAGTGGGAAGTAACACACGTCAGCAGAACCAATTTACATAATCAACCCAGTATCTTTGTCTTAAGATCCAAAGAAGAAAAAAAATATGGTAATAGGTTTTATATTTAAAAGAAAAATCAATCAAATCTGGGGAATTTTCCAAAAACCCAGAGGCATTTTATTTCCAGTCCTGATGATTGAAAAACACCCATATGAGTAACTTTGTAAAATGACAAAGCACTTTCATATTAAGCTACATGTATATGACCTTTAGGCACACATAAACACTTTGCATTAAAGAAAATAATCAGAATACTGTTTGGAGCAAAAATAATACTGTTGGTTCTTAAGGGAATTTGACCAGCAACAATCAGGCTGTTTTGGGAAAGCAGGACAAAGAAACCTTTTGAGCTGCAGAAAATCCCTGGAAGGAGCAATGCGGGCCTTCCTGACTCTACGTCACTGTGAAGTCATTGTATCCAAAGGGCTCCTAAAAGCAGACCAGCCTTGGCCTTTCTTCAGTTACACTCAATGAGCAGAAAAAAGTTCACCTGCCTGGAAACCTGGAATTAGGATGAAGTGTTTTCTACATACGGCTTCCCAGGTGCAGAGAGAGAAAAAAATCCAAAGTTAATGAACTGGCACCAAAGTCCTGCTGACCCCTGCCTACAGGTTCATGGTAGATTCTCATGGTTTCTCCTGAACAGCACAGCATCCACAAACCCTTTATTTAGCATTACGAACAACAACCACAGCGGACAGGCTGCTGTTTAACCCAAACTAAGATCCAGAGAAGGTAAACATGTATGGAGTACCCTCAGCAACTGAACATGTTGAAACAGAAAGGATTCAGTATAGAAAAGTCATCAACACAATGCAGTGCATTAAGGGGGTACATTTCAAAGCTATGAACTATATCTGTTTTCTTGTGGGGGTGGTGATGCTGGCGTTGGACGCAGGGGTTTGCTCTGCAGCTGAACATTTACATAAGAGTGTAGTTGCATCAGTCAGCTTTTTACTAAATGACCTCATTTGTTGTTACTTTTATCAGGTTGCATCATTCTATATTCTGTAGCTCTCCAATTCTAAATGTCATCTTATTGGCTGATGACAGAATATGATTTATTCCCCTGTCTGCTCCTTTAATTCTGCTGCTCAGCTCTCAGTCAGCACATCCTACGTCTTTGAATCAGTAAAGTTTGTCTTCTCATTTTTGATGCCATTTCTAAGAATGAAAACTGTCTGGCAGTCTGGGAAGTTGAGCCTTATATGGCATCATTTGGTCGGTACTTTCACAGATGATTCTCAGAACTGCGCCTCAGTTTCACACAGAAGGACATCATCAGGTTTACAGATGTAATTGGTATAAGAGAAGAGAAATTTAGGACAAGAATACTAAAAGTTGTAGCATGAGGTCCATTGATTTGGAGTCGCATTTGTTCCAATCATTTGTAAATGTGGGCCGTTTCTAAATCGGTGTACTTGTGCGTTCTCAGTGCTCATCAGCCTCTGCCTTACTGCTCCAGTTCTAAAGAACAGCAGAAAAAGAACGGACAAAATCCCCTGATGTTGTTCTCGCCCCTCCTTCTTTATCCAGCATGCATCAGAGCAAACTTGTCCGTTCTCGAGATTTACAGCTGTCCCAGCATGCACTGCGGCAGCAGCAGCTTCCAATGGAGCGCTCACAGAGCTCAGAGTATTAAGATCATTTGAGGCGGGAACATTATACTTTAAGCGTCACTATTTGGCCCATTCACTGATTTAGTGCGTGATTAAAAAAACGTTCTGCAGCAACCAGCGGACCTCCGAGACTAACCGCAGCCAAGGCTAACGTTAGCCCGTCTGCAGCAGCTAGGGCTAATGTTAGCCCGTCTGCAGCAGCCA